GTCAGCAATTAGCTAGAGAAATAACAGAGGCAAAATACCTTCCAGGCAGAAGGAATAATCTGTGCAAATACCTGAGGTGAGAAGAAACACAGTGTTTGAAGTAACCAAAGAAGACGAATCCACTGTAGCGTAATGTGCCCCAGAGTAAAAATTTAATATCATTGCATTGCTGTCTTTTTCAGTAAATATTTTCAAATTCAAAAGAGATATTCATAAAACTGTTGTAAGGTCTTCGGAAAGAAAGTGCCATTTAAGTGCAGTGTTATCGTGATAATAAGTATTATTTTGCTGCTATTCTATCACTGATCCGGACATGGTCCCTTGTACTAATTCCAATCATCATTCTCCGCTACCATCCAAAACAAAGAAAGGCAGATTTAAGTTAGCTGAAGACAGAAAAAAAGGTCTTTGGAAGGCCTAGTTTCCAAGGGTTGGTGCTTCTGCCTGGAGACCCAACAAAGGCTCCATTAAACTGGAAGTTGAAGCTACCTGCTGGCCACTTTGGGGTCGTCATGCTGAAGAACCAACAGGCAAAGAATGGGGTCATGTCCTGGCTGGATGCCAGTGACGATCGAGGTGAAATTTGATTACTACTGCACTGGAGGAGAAAGAAGTATATCTGAACAAAGGACACCTCGTATATTCTCATGTTCCACAAACTGGGTGGCTTAAAACAACAGAAAATTATTCTCTGTTTTTTGGAGGCTAGAAACCCAACAGCAGGGTGTTAGCTTTCATTCTGGAGGCTCTGAGGGAAATTGTTTTGTGCCTTACCCTGAGCTTCTGGTAGTGTCCAGCAACCTTTGGGGTCCTTGGCTTGTGGCCTTTGTTTCCTTGTGTGTGCCCAACTTTTCCTCTTTCTTTCAGGACACCAGAAATTGGATAATTACTTCTCCAATATAACTTCTTTAAAACTTCATTACATCTGCAAAAATCCTGTTTCCAAATAAGGTCACTTGTACAAAGTCTGGGGTACAACATTTCAAAAACATCCTTTTTGGCCAACGCAATTCAATCTATAACATCCTCATATTTCATGTACTTCAGTTGCAGGATGTCGAAAGGAAAGTGGATCTCCACCCAAAGGGGAATGAACATCACCCAAGAATGGATACAGTAACACGTGGTGCTGTGCACTTTCTCTTGGAGAGAGTGTTAGTGTGTTTTTAACTGTAGAAGTGATAGTTGAATCTTCCTAGGTGCAAACATCATTTTCTAATATCTGTTTGAAAGTCATGCATGGCTCAAAGAAGTGTCGATGAATGCCAACTTGGCAAGGCTGAACGGCGGTGCTTTGGTACGGTATCAATTTAGCTAAATCAGAAACTACATTTTGCAAAATTCCCCTTCCTGTCACACTGGATTAAGGTTAGCCTTAAGAGAAATGTGCATGAGGTGTGGAAGGCCTATGTGAAGCAGCCGCCGTTATACTCTGAACTGGGCACCAGGCAATACCACATCGAGTGCACCTGTTCACTGACCTGGTGGTTCACCTTGACTTAGGGCTGCAGCTGTGACTCCAGTTCTTAGAGCTCCTCCCAGAACTCCTCCCTCGATTTCGTAAGTCCTGTGCCGGGTCCATGTTCAGCTCCACTGCAAAGGGCATGCGATCCTTCTCCAAAGTCACCTACATCACAGAGGTTGGTTAAAGGCCAATGTGGAGTCTAGCTTTGCCTCCTGAATTCCATTCTTTCTTACTCTCCTCCACTTTCTGCCCAGCTCTTCTCCCTGTTAGCTCTGCTGACCCACGGAGACTTCAGCCCATCCTCAGACACGGAGGGAACACACTTCCATTGACTTCTTCTCTGGATCCCCCAGTTATCTAATCCCTAGAATAAACCCCTCATTCTACATCTCTTAGTGTTTCCGCTTCTGAAAATAACCTGATAAGGTATTGTGCCCCATTGACCACGGTTGTCACAAAGGAAGAAATCAGGAGCCAGAAGCCTGGAATTCAGTCTACCGCCTCCATCCAGGCAGGAGTCTTCTACAGATTTGTTTTGGACAGTCTTTCTAAATACTATATTATCACCCCTCCTTAGTAGTCATTTTTGACCCTCTCTTCCACCCACATCCATGTATAACAAATCGTCTCCCTGTAGAACTTGAGCGCGAACATCAACCCCTCTTGTCTGAGACTGGATGTCCCGTGTTTGGGGAATAAAACAGATGTAAGGTGTTGTGTCTTATTTACAGGGGTCTGCTCATAAACAAGGTGCTAACCCTATGGCTCGATCTCTCTTCAGTTTGGCTTGCCAGACTTCTTCCCTGCGGGAAGATCCAGTTAGAGCAGGGCACTGGCCTTCTATCTCGGTCATTATCTGAAGTGTGACTCTGTTAGGTCCCGGTTCCTGACTCTGTTAGTTTTCTCTTTTACTGTAAGCTCTCATTTTCCCTGTTCCCCAGGTTTTATTACCCTTTCAGAAGGTTGTCTTTCCTCATTTTTCTGTCGACAGAAATGTGATCGCTGGGCTGTGTACATTTCATTCTTCTGCATGGCACCTCCCCTGTCCTTATGCGGAAGGAGCTAGACAAGCTCTCTGGTGAAATGTGAACTCCATATCTTGGTGAGCACGCATTCATTGCAAAAGTATTCACCGTGGAGGTAAATGTATATAGACAACCTGGAGTTGCTGTTCTGTTCAACGTAAGGTAACAATGCCTTCTGGATCTTTTTTTCTTTTTCTTTTTTTTCAATTAGATGTATTATCCATTCATTCTATTAAATCATTAAATTCATTCTTAGGAAACAGGACTTGCTGGACTCTGAGAGTGATGCATGCGTTGGTCATTGACTCTGCTTTCTTGGGAAGATAATACTCAATTATTTCCCAGCTCAGCCCTAAAGCTCCCAGGCACCTAGGGAAGCCCAGAAGCCTGGGGAGTCTGATTTCTAGAGTGAGCGATGTCTTAGTTAATCCATATTATTCTCATGAAATGGTTAACATTCCTCATGAATAAATGGAAGGTAAGTGACTCAAAACAGATTAGCGGAAAAGGCCTGAGTGTGTCTCAGAATTCTCGGTATGGTGGCTGGCAAGATTCCTGTCTGCCCAGGACTGTCTTTCTCTCAAAATCATCAAGTTCAAAAAAACATAAGTCATGTTCATGTAGCTAAAGAAGAGACTAGATTGATTTTTTTTCTCCGTGTTTTGTTTTTTAAAAGAAAGGGAATAAGTCTTACATTCTACCAGACATTTAACATTTGGACTTAGAATCAACACAAAGAAATATCTAGTATATCATTACATATTTTATATCACTCATTATAGGTCAACCCGACTCCTTAAATATGCTCGGCCACCAATTAATAGTCTGAGAAATATAAAAATATAGAACACCATCAGAGAGATCTCTTCACTTAATACTTTGTACTAAATGCAGATAATTCCAAACAACCCTCAGTTCATTCCTGTGAATTTTCATCTCCACTTTTCGAATAAGAGAAAAAGTAAAGTTATTTCTAGTAGAAAAGCTATTTAAAAATAAATATAAAAAATATTTTGTTACAGTAACATTTGTAAGCAAATACAGTGATACCTCGGTTCTCGAACGCCTCGGATTTCGACCAAATCGGTATTCGACCAGGAGATTCGAGAAACTTTTGTCTTGGAATCCGAACAAATAATTTGATACCTCGGTTCTCGACCGCCTCGGTTCTCGACCAAATCGGTATTCGACCAGGAGATTCGAGAAACTTTGTCTTGGAATCCGAACAAATAATTTGATACCTCGGTTCTCGAACGCCTCGGTTCTCGACCGCCTCGGTTCTCGACCAAATCGGTATTCGACCAGGCGATTCGAGAAACTTTTGTCTTGGAATCCGAACAAATATTTGGAACTCGAACTTCCGAGATGAGCCGAGTTGAGCCGAATGGCGTTCATTCGGCCCAGCGCGCCTTGCTTGCGTCATCAGTGTGAGTGCAGAGAGAGAGTCACGCTTTGTGGAGAGAGTCACGCTTTACACTGAATTTAACCCTTAGACATACTGTACACTTTTATTTCTTGTTGAGACTTGTGTTTTTCTACATATTATATACAAATTAGGCCAGTAAATAGGCATTTTCTGGGGCTTGGAACGAATTAATCCAGTTTCCATTATTTCCTATTGGGTTTCATTGCTTCGGTTCTCGAACAATTTGGTTCTCGACCGTCCTCCTGGAACGAATTATGTTCGAGAACCGAGGTATCACTGTAGTCACAAAACCACGTCAAGCACAGCCATACAGAATTGGACACGCCAGCATTTTCCAACTCTGTTGCCCTGTGCAAGTTTGTTGTGAATCTCCCCTAAGGCCAGATCTCTCTAGACAGCTATTTTCATAAAACATAGAAAACATTTGGCTTGTGCCTCTCCTCTATGCCCGCCCCACTCGACTGTGGATTGGGAACCCGTGGAAAACGAGCCCTGTATTGACCCAGTACGGTCGGGAAGCTGTACTTGATGAAACTGACTTCAGCTTGATGCCTAAAGAGTGGGAAATAGAAAGTTGCTGTAGTGCACACTCCATGGTTAATGCCACTAAAAATGTCAAGTGAGCAAGTGGCAATGGAGGGGCAGGGACGACCAGAATCCTAAACGGCAGATCGTCACAAATATTTATCCAACAGCCTCTGGGAGGTTATGGGAGTCTAACCAATCAATCTGTCAGTGACTTGATTGATCCCCAAAGCTCAAAGGCTGGGATAGAAACCCCTCATTCCTTAGCGTGACTTTACCTGAAGCTTCCCCTACTAAGAGGGATTGTGTGTGTAAAAGGTGGTGGCAGGGTCTGGGGACAGATGTGGCCACTGGGGAGACCCGTATGGGAGCTATTTTGCTTCCTTGCTCATTCTTTCTGCCTCACACTGAGAACAGATAAAATGTTGCCTCTTCTTTCTCTGCCCTATAAAAATGTGTGTTTATTTCCAATTATGTGACGTGGACAAGTTACCAGAGGTAAAGGATGCTTGGCTCTGAGTTGAGAAAAAGAAGAGAAAACAAGACACGTCCCAAGAGGAGTTTCATTTATATAATGAAAATAAATTTTTACACAATCAACAGAAACACACCCAGCTTTTTTTTTTTTGAGAAAAATATTTTTAAATAAATTTTTGTCTTTTTTTTTTTTTTTAACATTCTGATATACATATGTAACAAGGTTTATGGCACTGTAATCAGAGTCAAATCCAAAAAAAAATTAAACAAAGGAAAAAGGTGGGAAGAAAAGTAATTGGTTTCATTGAATTCTTGTTTAGCTCCAAGCTGGCAGATTTGCCTGACATCTGGCTGCCCAATCTAACTTGCTTGCACACTCAAAACACCCTAGTATTACACAGTGAAGGCATAAGGTAGAATGGTCAGTTCCTCGCTAGTTCAAAAAGATCTCATAAACCCAGAAAGGGGAAAAATATAATCATTCAGAGTATGAAACACACAAAACCAACAGTCTCCTTTGTCTCTTTCAAGAACGTGAAGGGTTCGTAGACCACTGAAGCTGCCCTGCCTGTGCTTGGCACCAGCGAGCAGGGTTGAACCTGGTTTGGTTGGGTTTCTGTTTTCTACATGAATGGGCCCAGGGAGATCCCAGGTCTTCATGATCCAATGTCTTCTCTACTTACTTTTGGTTCTTTTAAATTGGTTTAAAGTGTAGTATATTCGGTCTATGAACCTGCACAGACTATATAATCATAAACTCTACAAATAGCTTCAAAGGAAAAGGGGGAGAAACCAGTTTTATTATGTGTTTATTGTTGGCTTTAAAAAAAAAAAAGAAAGAAATGACTTCTTTAGCATCCCTGCTTTATCAGTTCCTGGGAAGTCAATCTCAATGGGGTGTCAAAAGTTAAACTCTTCTCACACTTGTTAAAAGTAAAAAGATTCTAAACGAGTTTGTTGCCGTTCACAAACTTCACCACCCCCCCATCTTTAAAGAGGGGAGGAGGGGAGGAAAAGCAAAGAAAGAGTCCGTTCTCCTGTTCTCCTTTCTTCTTGTCTCCTGACGGAGAACAGTGACCCTTCCCATCCAGACCGTTGTCACACAGCTGTTTCCACGCCCATCAGCTTCGGTGTAAGGATCCGCGGGGTCACCCCGTTGTTTAGGTCTTCCTCAAACTCCAGCAATTGCCCCATGAAGTTGAGATTTGGGGAAATAATTGGTCGTTTGCCTTTGACAAATTTGTAAGCATCAGTCATGGTCATCCGAGTGTGCTTCATCAAGTAAGCGATGACGATGGTGGCAGAGCGGGACACCCCCGCCTGGCAGTGAATGAGAAGCCCCTTCCCGCACTGGTGAGCTTCCTCTGGAAAGAGGGAGAAAGGCAAGAGGTGAAGGGAAGGAGACAGAGATGGAGAGAGTGAATTAACTTTTACCTGGACTTGACCATGCCATATTTTCTAGAGAAAGAATAATTTAAATAAATTTGAACCCAAGTATAATTTACCAGTTCACTGTGTATGTTTATGTCACAACCTCCAGAATGGGCTCAAAGCAACCTTTGCATAAATAAGAAGCTACTTTTCTATGTTTAAGGAGAAGAGTAGATGAAGGAACTATTCACAGTAACAATTTACATCACAGATGCTGGCAGCCAACTGATGCGACAGCCACAACATAGTTAATTTCCACATCAAGCAAGCTAGAAAGTAGACCCTTCTGGCTACGGGTCTGAATTCCGATCGCCAGACTGTACGACTTATCAAAACTAGATTTATGAACAATGTCTCTCATACCTGTGAGAGAAGAAAATAACAGAAATAACAGAAAATAGAATTGCTCTGTACAGGAACTGGTATTGAATAAATAAGAATTTCGGTCTTACTGAACTCAGACTGAGGTTAAAGGAACCAAAGTCAACTAGAAAGTTACTATGTTCAGCTTCCTTCTGGGAAAACCCTGTTGCAAAGTTAGCAAAAGACTTGCAGTCCCCAGTCACAGGTGTCGCCTACGTCTGAACTGTTGACCCCTCTGCACCCACGTGTGCTGTTGCCATGTGACAATGACTCAAAAGGGAGGAATTTCAGCAACGGTGCAGGACCCAGAGCAACTGGAAAAGGCCGTAGTTTATTCGTTTCAAATATATTAAAAGCTCGGGAGAATAGTTTGTGGGCACCGCCTAAAGGGATTCTTCATGACACTTCCAGACTAAAAGGTATCCCCAAGAAAGTGTCCTTGAAGGGATACCAGTTAGATGAAGAGTAGGAAGGACAGCCGGGTAAGGACAGTCATGATTTAACTTAAATTACCAAGAAAAGAAACATCATACAAATTTTCATTTTAATAATCTATAGATCAGGCCGACTCCTCAAAGCAAAAGTATTTCAAGAAAGTATCTCCCTTTGTCAATATCCTTTTTTTTTTTTGGCACACACACTAGAAATCACACACACACCAAGACTGGGGGCACTGCAGTCAGAAGACGAGCTACAAAGGGCTGGGTTGGACCACTGGTTCCACTAAATACTAGGTGAGTGACCTTGTGTGAGTCACATAACTCCCCTGAGCTTCAATCCCCCTGTCTGAATAATGAGGATAATACCAACTAACCAGTCTCAGGGAACATGGGAGTAATATCACCCAAGTTAGAAGTAAATAAATGCCATAGTTCAACCCTAAACCTAGGCTCCTTTTTGTTTATATTAGTCTCTCAGTGGATGTTATGATGTTCATTAAAACTTGCTATGTTTTTCCTAAAGCAAGGCTATAAGCCTTCAATGTACCCAATGACATAACTGCGAAAATAAAATTGGGCCTATGCAGGCTGTGATATGGAATTGTTTCTCAGGTTAAATGCCATTTGTTATTTGTTTGTGTTCCATCTGAAAAAGCAGATAAGCATGAATACCCTACAAGGCATGTGGGTGCTTTGATTGCAGTCCTCTTAGAGGACATTACATGCTACTCACTAAAAGAAAACAATTTCCCAACTTCCCTCAACTGGAATTATGTCAGAAAAATTGCAGCCATAGCATCATGTACCCACCAGGAAGTTCCTCATCTACTGATGACAAGGAATCTTTCCTCCTCGGAGCTCAAGGTCTGGCTCAGACATTATCAATAAAGAAGAGCCCTTTGCACCCACGTGTCACCCACTGGGAATCAAGAGAGTAATGTAATCACTGTCCCAGCTTATTGTAGAAAGGTCCCTGGCCTTGGAGTCCGGTCCCTTCTCTGACCCTAAAACTCCTATGACCTAGGAGAAGTCACTTTACTTTTCGGAGTTTGGTGACCACTCAATGTCCTTCCAGAATGAATACTCCATGGTCTTGCATTGAAGGCACTTAGCAAGGAAAACAGCTAGGGAAAGTGGCCAAAGTGGTCAACTCCGCAGCAGATCCACCGGACCCAATGGCTATTGAACCCAAGGCTTTGTTCTAACAGAGTGCACCAAATAGGAGTGCGTTCTTCCTGGGACACAGGCCAGTCACAAGCTGCTGCCATGTATAGGAAAAGGCTGGGGTCACCCCTTTGTGGTAATAAGGGTAGAGTCTCTCTTAAAAAAAAAAAAAAAAATGGTTGAGTCTTTGATAGATGCCAGGTGTTCCCAAATGACCCTTTGAGCCTTACAACAGTCTAGGCCACAGAAGGAGCACGTGTTAAAGTTAGGATAACGACTAGGCCGGCCACTGCGTGCTCCTGGCGGTCAACGCCTACTCTTGCTAGCATTTCCCTCCTTGGGAACTACTCAGGCTATACAACCTGATCTTCCTACTGCAGTGAGTCTGGAAACTGTCTAAGGAAATCTAGGACCATCTCACTAACACTCACGTTCATGCCCTTTGCTACCTGATGTTTCAGACAAGGCAGGTAGAGGGAAAACAACGACTTCCTCCCACCACCTTTAGTCCGCTCTCTTCTCTGCGCTGACGGGATGGGGAAAGATGGTCACTACAGCATTGTGTTTGACTGACACAGATTCTTCAGAAGCAACCCTTCAGCAACACTGCACTTGCTTCAACCTCGCGTAAAGAGGCTCTACCAGCTGCAAATTCATTGAACTCTAGGCAAGGGAGGTGTGGGGGAGTTTGCGGGCGTGTCAGTCACTGTATTTCCTGCAAGGTGCTGAGGTAGACCAGAAAGCCAGAAAGCCACAGCACCAGTTCTGGTCTTCCAATGCCTAACTTTCTATGAGCCTCTTTACAGACATCGTGTTCTAGAGCATACCACTGCTAACCCTACCACTTTCCACTGAGAACTTGCGGTGGTTTCTAGTGAACGGATCCCAGCCGAATGGAATTCCTGTTCTTTATAGCCTCCTGAGGGATCCAGGACACTCGATGGGTTATGACTTGGGAGGAGCCTTGGGCTGCACCAGGCAGCAGAGCCCGAAAAGCACTCAGGGCAGCTTTTTAAAGGAAAACCCAGACATTCATCTTGAACTGGGCATCAAAGCAAAAGCCGGAGGGGAAAGGAAGGTGGGCTGGCGGAATCCAGGTGGGAGATAGTTACCGATGAACTCGAACGCCTCTTCAAAGTACTGCCGCAGGTTCTGCTTGTTGCTGTCGGTGGCCGGCAGCCGCTTGTAGTTGAACAGGCCTTTCTCGTAGTGGTAGAGGGGCAGGTGCGTGGTGACGTTGATGACGTAGCCGATGTTCAGCCGCTGCATGGTGTCCAGGTCCTGCGCGTCCTGCTCGTTGCCGAGGAACAGGAAGGGCAGGATGGGCGTCAGCTCGGCGTTTTCGATGTCGGGGGTGGTGGGCAGGGGCTGAGGTAGCACGCTCGAGGCCGCGGACGCGCCGCCCCCCACCTCCCGGCACTCCTGGAGCTGGAGGGAGTTGTCACAGAGGTTTTCATGGTTCTGCTTAAAACTGCTAAGTCCACCTGGAACACAAACACAGCAAGCGGCAATGACGACCCCGGGATCTTCCGAGTGGGCAGCACTTCCCTGTAGGAAGGAGTGTGCGTCTTTGCTGGGGTGTTTATGTGTGCACGTGTGCGTGTGTGTGTGCACGCGTGTATGTGTGTGTGCGTGTGTGCACGTGTGTGCGTATGTGTGCACATGTGTATGCGTGTGTGCACGAGTGTGCGTATGTGTGCACATGTGTATGCGTGTGTGCACGTGTGTGCGTATGTGTGCACATGTGTATGTGTGTGTGTATGTGTGTGCGCATGTGTGCGCGTGCGTGTGTATGTGTGTGTGTGTATGGTGCGCTCGCGCGTGCGTGCATGTGTGTGTGCGCATGTGTGTGCGTGTGTGTATGTGTGCGCGCATGTGTGCACGTGCGTGTGTATGTGTGTGCGTGTATGGTGCGCTCGCGCGCGCGTGCATGCGTGTGTGTGCGCATGTGTGTGCGTGTGTGCACATGCGTGCGTGCGTGTGTGCATGTGTGTGCATGTGTGTGTAAAATAAAAATAAAAGAAAGTCCATTTGGAGACTCAGGACGAGCTTCAGAGGGTGTCGCTGCAAACGGGACTCGGCAAGTGTGCTCTTTATACAAACTGGGGCACGTTCCCCTGGAAAGAGCTCCACGCTGCACCGGGCAATTTTATCAGCAGCTAATCTGATCTGCCTCGAAGAGCCGTGTGCTCAGTGACCTATATAGAACCTTGCGCCTTGGGAGCTGGGGAAGACACGGTGACCTCGGTGGGGAACTTTTGCCAGCATCCCGGCACTGCAGGCGTGTGACTTGCACCCTTTATAAGCTCTCCTCACCCAGAATGACAACTGCGCTTCCACGCAGCAGAGGGGTCATGAGCAGGGATCTTGGGAGAAGCAGTTTACCTTGGCTACCATCCCAGCTCCACCCTTCCTGGCTCTGTCACTTGCAGAAGTTAATTTCTCTGTGCCTGGATCCCCTACCTGTAAAATGAGGGCCCTGCGTGTACCCCTTGGTGTGAGTAGGGAGCCTGGGAAGAAGGAATACATGCAAGGTACTTAGCATGTTGCCAGGCTCACAGTGTCACTCCGCAAGGATTTGCTATTTTTATTAGTATTATTTACATGATTGCCCATGGGTTAAAGCAGCAGAGAAATGCTTAGAAAAGACAAAAATATAGGGAGGTGTGAGGGGAGTTTTCCTTATGATCAACTCTGATTTCCTGTAGGACACAGTGTAAGATCACCCCAGATCCTTGCACCCACCTTTCCAAGGCTTGTGTGGGCATAAACCCATCCAAAAACCTCTAACAGATCCATGAATACACACTTTTGAGCTGGCTTAAGGCTCTGTTCTGCCTCCTAAATGTTATGGGTCTAGACCAGTGGTTCTCCACCTTCCTGATGCCGCGACCTTTTAATACAGGTCCTCATGTTGCGGTGACCCCCAGCCATAAAATTATTTTTGTTGCTACTTTATAACTGTCATTTTGCTACTGTTATGTCTTAGGCGACCCCTGTGAAAGGGTTGTTTGACCCCCAAAGGGGTCATAACTCACAGGTTCAGAACCGTTGGTCTAGAGTAAAAAACTAAACTGTACCAGTTTCCCCATTTTTAAAATGAAGACCACCCCCCCTCCACCAGGGTAGCATAGCTTAAGGGAATTGGATACATAAGATGTTCACTACAGCACTGTCCATTTTATTAACAAGGCTGAGTTTAAAAAAATTTAAGGGGAAAGTTAATATAGTTATCCAATGGAATATTATATAGCCATTAAAGGTTGTAAAAAAAATAGGAAAACAAAGAGAATGTTTCTGTTCAATATTAAACAAACAAACAAAAAAAAGAACCTTTACTTAAGTTAGAAAATTTGTGGATCATAGTTTGCTTAAATGTTCCCTTTAATATTTGTTAGATGCATCAAACACGTGGATAAGCCTGCAGAATTATTATGAGGGTCAAATTATACAATGTACATATAAGGGCTATGCAATCAAACAGTAATTACCACCAAACATAGATGCAAGTCAAACATAGATACACTCTGGCCTTTCCTTTGAAAAGAGGAGGAAGTTGGAGATCTCCAATACGCTGAAAGCTACCACAACACAACATTTACCCTCTAGGTAGATGCTTTACACGGCGGTTTCAGGAGGTAAGACAGGAAACAAAAGCGTGAACAGGATGTGGCTGTGTTGAAACAAGGCAGGAAGTCTATCTGTCCACCAGTTTCTGAACTGAACATATGTCCTTCAAGTCTCATCTTTAGCAACCGCAGCAGGAAGTTCCAGACTGTAACCTAACCAAGTGTCAGGGCTGTTTACGGCCAAGGCACGTGGATGTGGCCACGTAACCCAGGGAGGTCGTATTTTAAGGCCTGGCAGTGACCCCAAGAATATTCCAAGGGGTAATATTAGGATCACTTCACTCATCTGTTAGTGTCAAAACCTACCTCTTCTTTTTGAAAAGAAAAACAAAAACTATAAATTCATTGTAATTGATTTCTAGAATTAAACGCTGCTCTTCCATATTATTAGTGTATTCTGCAATGAAATCATAATTAAAAAAAAAAAAGTTTGTCTGGACTGGACTCAAATAGATCATTTTTTAAATAGAAGAAATGGAAGACTTGAAAAACTTCACTAGTAAAAACATTTAAAGAAATTGAAATTACCCACTGTCCCCATCACAAACTCCACAAAAGAGACTAAAGAGTTATTTTAAAATCTGCTCAGCTCAGCCTCTATAAAGCCAAGTAAACAGTTCCGCACTGATTCTGTGATGGGAACCTAATTCACTTTTTTTCCCCCCAAAGAAAAGGGCAGTTGTTACACTTTTCCATATACGATGAGAGGAAAGAACAACAAAACGAACTCAAAAGAAGTTTCTAAGGCGGTGGGGGAAGGAAAAAAAGAACTTCTCTCTGTTCTTATTTAGGGTACGCAAGCTGTAATTTGTCTTAAAAGCAGCTAGTTTTAAAAAAAAATGCACGCCAGAAAACCCCCCACACAGAAAAAAGCAGCATAGAGCTTTTTAAAATTCTGTCTCTACACCTCCTTCCCCAATGACATCAGCTGGAGGCTCCCCACCTGCCCAGTTGCCATAGCAGTTACACAAAGACATACAATGACATCAGTTGGCATGATATCAGCGCTTTGAGTGCAAACAATACAAGAAGAAGTACTTTGTTTAAGGCCTTTGGTGCAACTGTGTTCGGGGAGGCAGTGATGTAATATGCTAACAGGTGGTGTGGGCCTTCCATTTGCCAAAGAGGGGAAAAACCATGGGGGGAGGGGACAGTGAATTTGAGACAGACAGACACAGAAAGATCCAAATCATGGGGGGGGGGGTGCTCACATGCAAAATTCTGGCTATATTGTATGTTTAAGCCACGTGGGAAGCCGGCTCAGAGGCTATTTGGAGAAGGAATGGATAGAAAAGGAAATAGTGTGATTCAAACACATTAGCTGGAGAAGAAAATTCTCATTGAAGGGTGTGAAGATGTAGTCTCCTGCTTGAGTGCTAGTGTGATGATCAACTCAAGTGAGAGTTTTCATGAAGGGTTACGCACGTTATATAATTCGGGGAACACACTGTCCCTGGGGATGGTGCTTTATGTATAATGAACCAGCAGAATGGCAGTGTGGTTTTTAGAGATGACTGTAGGGAGGGGTGCTTTCTTCTCTTGGGAGGTGGAATTAGGAGCTAGGGAGGAGGGGAGGAAAGGGGTAGGGCTAATAGGGTTTTTTCTTCCAAATCCTTATCCCCTCCCTGACCCCATCTATTCCACTAGAGTTAGAGCTGACTGCTCCCTGACCTCGGAGCTGTGACTATTTCATAGTCAGTGAGGGACGAGCATTATTCCATACTTGTTATTACCATACAAGAACATTACAACGTGATAAGCAGCAACTGAAGCAGAGGCAGTGTGCATGCTGGGTAGGTGCAGGGGTTAGAGACAGACCAGGCTGCGAGTGTGATTCTGCCTCACAAGAGCTGTGAGACCTGGTGCAGATCACTTTCCCTCATTAAGCCTCAGTTTGCTGATCTGTCCAGGGGACCTCATATCATCTACCCATAGAGCCACGTAAATATATAACCAGGCGCTTGATAAATTAGGTCTTATTACCCCAATGTCATCATAGTCGTCCCCACCTCCCACTTGCCCATGTGCACTGCAGTTCTGAGGACCCCATGATGCTGAGGCTGGACTGCCTGGGTCGCATCCCAGACACGAGCTATGCCATCAACACATAGTTTCTTACCCCTTGCTTCCTCAGTTTCCCCATCTAGCAAACAGGAATAATAACAGCACCTGCCTCCCACTACCTTGAGGATTAAACTGGTTAATAAAAATAAAGTCCTTGAAACAATACCTAGCTCATATTACAGCACATGTTTTCCGAAGCTTTGGGGAACTGCTCTTTAAAAATCTAAAAAATTCTGCTTCATATGAAGACTCTAACTGATAAGTAAGCCAATGTCTAGAGGTTTTCCTCTTCAATTTTTATTTTAAAAGAAGTAGGAACCCAAGTATCTGAGCAGTTTTAAAGCTTAAATAGCATGCTCATAAAGACAGCAACAACTCCGTCCTTCCTAAACAGACATGTCGAACTTCATTTTGTTTGTCAAAGCTTCCTCAATCCAGAGCTGCCCGGGTTTGGATTCCTGGTTTTCCCAGTAGAGGACGGAGTGTTTTATTTAATTTCAAACTTATTTTTTTTTCAATTACCATTTGCATTCATTGTTATTTAGTATTCGATTCAGGTTACAGCATACAGGTTAGACAATCGTATAAGATTGCGTGTCTTAAATAACACCGCCCCCTCCCTCCTCAGGCACACAATTGCTTGAGGTATCAGCACAAATATTTTCCAAGCATGAGCAACAATACTGGGGGCGATGCATTTCCAACCCTTATCTCAGAACTAGGTTCTCTGCCAAAACCGGGCAGCACGCGGATGCTGAACGGCAACCGGAAATACCCAGCGCCCCTAGGAC